ATAAGTTACCACGCGTCTAATTAGTCTGTTCCAAAATATATAAATTTTTTTTTCTTATTTTTATCTCAATTTTCGAGTTTATCACGGGATGTCAAACGAAATCGAAATCTCATATTCTTAATACCATTTTGAAGTATTCACGGGTTAGTTTATTGCAACTCTAGCCGCGTGCGAAACGGCTAGCCGTAGCAAAAGTTACCACTCGTCGAAATATGCCTTACAAAATATACAAATGTTTTTTTTCTATTTTTACCTAAATTTTCGAGGTTATCACGGGATGTCAAACAAAATCGAAATCTTGTATTCTTAACACCATTTCGAAATACTCACGGGTTAGTTTATTTCAACCCCAATCGCTTGCGAAACGATCAACCGTAGCAAGAGTTACCACTCGTCAAAATATGTCATTACAAAATATACAAATGGTTTTTTTCTCATTTTTATTTAAATTTTCGGGGTTATCACGGGATGTCAAACGAAATCGAAATCTTGTATTCTTAACATCATTTCAAAGTACTCATGGACTAGTTTATTGCAACCCTAACCGCATGCGAAAACGGCCAACCTTAGCAAAATTTACCACACATCGAAATAGACCGTTCCAAAATATATAAATGTTTTTTTTCTTATTTTTATCTCAATTTTCGGGGTTATCGCTATATATCAAACGAAATCAAAATCCCGTATGCTTCACATCATTTTGAAGTACTCACGGTCTAGTTTATTGCATTCCTAACTGCGTACGAAACGNTTATCTCAATTTTCGGGGTTATCACGGGATATCAAACGAAATCGAAATCTAGCATTCTTAATACCATTTTAAAGTATTTACGACCAAGCTTTCATCATCATTAACGGCGTGTGAAACAATCAACCGTAGCGAAAGTTACCACTCGTCAAAATAAGAATACAAAAATGCAATATTTGCTACGGTTGAAAATGCCTAGTTTGACAAGTGGTAAGTTTCGCTACGGTTGGCCATTTCGCATGTCGTTAAGGATGGTGAAAATCAGGTCGTAAATACTTTAAAACGGTATTAAGAATGTGAGATTTCGATTTCGTTTGACTTCCAGTAATAATCCCGAAAATTGAAATAAAAATAAGAAAAAAATATTTATATATTTTCGAACGACCTATTTCGACGAGTGGTAACTTTCGCTACGATTGACCATTTCACACGCCATTAAGGATGGTGAAAACTTGGCCTTGAATACTTTAAAATGGTATTAAGAATGCGAGATTTCGATTTCGTTTGATATCCCGTGATAACCCCGAAAATTGAGATAA